CATGGACTAAGCATAAAAATATGTATGGTTAATCCTTCCAAAACTGATAGGTAGTAGTTAGACATTTTATTTGTATTGAGAAGTTATCAGGTTTTGACAGGTTATTAATTTTGACAGGATTAGTTTTGGAAGTTCAACTATATTTGTATATCAGTATACGTAAATATATTAAATTTAAATTTTATTAACAGGTTTAGATATTGAAAATAATTCTTTTTATACATCATTACATTCAAAACCTGTTATAACCAAAAATATTGAAGAACAAGCACAAGATAATGAAAGACAATCACATAATAATGAACAATCACAAGATAGCGAAGGACAATTACAAGATAGTGAAAGACAAGTTAAAGACAATAAAGAACAAAGGCCTCTATTACTATTACAGCATAAATTGCATGATATTACTAATTCAGCAAATATTGATATCACTATATCAGACTGGTTAGTTTTTTTTTTTTTAAAAAAATAAAATAATTACCTAATTTTTTTTTTTTGTTTTTTTTTTTTTAGCGAACCTGATCAAATGGATAGTTTTTCTTTTGATTCTTTTTTAAAAGAGGTTAAAGAAGACTATGAGAATAATAATCTACAATTATATATAGCATTAGATAAGTTTGCAAAGCGATATAAAGCAGCTAAATTACAATCTATCCCATGTTTGAGTTCTTTTCTTTATGATCTTAATTGTAACTCAGATCCTTTGGCACGCATCAAGAATAGTAGAAAAATTCAAGTGCAAGTTGAGTCTATAAAATAAAGAAAAACAAATACTAAATGGGGTTCTAAAAATAATGAAAATGATATTCAAAATATTCCCAAATGCAAGGCAAGAAGGATGAGCAAAAAAGAACATAATTTGCATAAAAATATTTTAAACAATTTATTAAATTAATATGTAATGAATGTTTAATATAACATTTAAATTGTTCAATTTTTTTTTTATTAGCTCAATAAAAAACAGATATATTATTTTATATAAAAGCATATAGCATTAGATAGTCTGATAAAATCGCATATATATTTTTTGATCTTGTGTATTAAATATACATAGTTATGTATATTCTATATTTTAATACAAATACTTCATTATTATACAATATAATTCTTGAATTTAGTAATTAATATCATATCTATTTATTTATAAAATATTATTTTATTTTTACATATTAAATGCAATTTTAGCATCAGCTAATTCTTTTACAGAATTACTTCCTGATATGACAATAACTAGCATTTGTTTTAATAATTATTACAAATATCTAGACTTTGTCAGTGACATGTGGATTTTGTGATTTGCTGTAATCGAAGTAAATTACAGTAAATCACAGAAAACATATGATTTGTTTTAATTGCAAAATGTAGTATTAGTAGCTATATCGATAATAATATAGTAAAAATATAATATTTTAATAGCGTTAGTTCAAAAAAATTTTACATTTCTCAAAAAAAAAAATTTAGTACACCTCACTTTTTTCTTAAAAAAAAAAATTTAGTGTACCTCACTTTTTTAAAATTGCAAGTTTTTTGTTTTTACGAAATAAAATTTTAGATATTATGTTAGTAAAATCAGTACTTTAATTTTAATTATCAGTTAATCACAGTAAATTACATTATTTATCATTATTAAAATTAGAATTGATTAAATTATATCACAGATTTCGCATGTCTCTGAACTTTGTTATTGTTTTGATGTTTAAGAATTATTTCTATGCCTTTATATTTAAAAGCTATTTGTTTATATTTTTATATTAATCATTTCACTAGTACTTTCATATTTGAAGCCGATTTATCAGTACTTTCATTCAAAGATTTTTCGTCTATATCTGCTTATTATAAAACAAGTATAAATTATTATATTTTAGCTAATAGTTTTAATAGTAAACCTGCTTTTTTTTCATATAAGTATTTTTTATAAAAGTATTTCTTATATATAAGCATATTTTGTTGACTCAAATAGGACAACTGATTAGCATTTTTTAAAAATTAATTTTTATTGGTTACTATATCAGTAGGTGTTATATTGTGTAATACTGCACTATATGATCGACATAACCTGGCACAGAATACTAATGTGTGAGTTTAAACTAGGTGAATTCATAAAATAAGTACAAACTACTCTAGTAAGTTTGCTTCAGGGTTAACTAGTTCTACAATATTAACAATATGCTTAGTATAATATATCCTAAGAGAATTTAAACTATTCTAAATAGATAGATCTATAACAAGCTAGCTGGCTTAAGTAGTTAGATATTGCAGTAATGTTAGATTAGATCTGTATGGGTTAATAAACAGAGTATTTAAATAGATAACTCATAGGTAGATTACAGATATAGCAGCATAGTATAGAACTAATCAGATAGTCTAATATCTATGTAGCAAACTAAAAATAGATAATAACTAAAGTTGTATATATAACTTGTTGTATACTCTTCATGTAATTACAAACAGTAGAGATTATCAATATATAATCCTGTTTGTAACTCTAATAAAATTCTTTTGCAATATAAGCTACCTTTAACAACCAAAAAAAAAATAGTTATTATAATTGATAGAACTCTATAAAGATGATTAAAATTTATATATATCTATCTAGTTAATAATCAAAATATATCTCTATATAAATTTTACTAATAAACTGATATCATATATACTAATCTAACACATACAATCTCAACTCTTAAGCAATATTATAACATCTTATATAAAGCTAGAAATTTAAAAAATCTACAAGCACTTACTGAAAATATATAAAACTAAATTAACAAATATTATAATAACTTTAATTCTAATACTACTTCTATAATTAATAGTATTCTTAATAGCTGAACTGATCTAGTAATCTTTGAAAAAATTTTAACTGAAAATATATAAATTACAAATCTACTCTAATTAAAATACATATAAAAAAATACTTTGAATATTAAACAAAAGAAAATCTAACTAATATAAATGAATAGAACAACTAGAAAAAAGAATATGTATTTAAAAAATATATCAAAAAAAGCTAGTACAATGATATAACAAACTAATAACAATATAAAAAATTATTTAGATCATTAATAATTTATCTAACAATAAAGCAATAGGTCTCTTTTATATTTTGAACAAAATGCTAAAATATTGTGAGCTCAAACTACTAAACTTTTTTACATATCTCTTTAACTTATATCTAGATCTAAACCAAATTCTTATTTTATAAAAAAATAGCTACATATTTTCAGTTTCAAAAAAACTTAAATTTACTAAGCAATTAAACTATATCAGACCAATTTCACTAATTGAATATACTCAAAAGATCTTTATAAAAATTATTACTTAATTAGCAAATCTATTCAAATTTTAATTTATATTATTGAAGATATATATACTTATAAAAATAAGCTATAGCTCTTATTACAAGATATGAGTAAAGCATATAATTTAATATATATCAAACTTCTATTTAAAGTACTTTTTTGACGACAAATTCTACAAGCTATATAT